TGAGATAATCCTAAGAACATTTTACATCAAAATTATATATCATGATAAAATTTGAAAGTGCACCTTACTTCTACACCTACGAATGCATCCCTATGCAAACTGCACCCTAATATATTATAATAGGAAAATGTTAGGTTTGGAAATTTGGGATCGGATTCAAGAGTATTGTTTCACCGGCTCTTACTAAGGCTACAAAATTATTGTTTAATGGTTTCAATATAACTATATAATAACTACAAATCATAATTGTATATTGTGTCTTTTTTACATATATGCTTTTTCCACTACATTATTTTAAACTAAACTCGAAATATTCATGATTCTATAGCTTATTTTATTTTTTGGCGATCCGTATTTTTGACCCGATTTTTCCTCCGACTTTTTTAAATAGACCAATTTATTCCCGATGTTTTCGTTTGTCGATATTTTATAATTCTCCGACTTGCTAACTTTGGTTTGACCTAGGTAAACTAGAAAAATTAAAAAGGGATTGTCTACCAAGAGACTATTTATTTTTGTACATAGAGGTCACAATTATTATTGTCCTTTAAATTTCAAAATAGATGGTAGTAAGAGTGTCATTGAATATACATAAAGTTCCAGAAAAAAAAAATTCTCAGACTTCATGACTTACCCCAAGCCATCCAATTTGACATCTAATGAATGGAAATGTTTGTGACCTCCATGTACAAAAGATAAATGATTTATTTGTAGATAATCCCAATAAAAAAATGATACCCAAAAAAATAAAAGAAAAAGTATACAATGTGAACATTTATCTTTAGTACAAGATGGTTACAAGTAATCTTGACCATTGGATATGAATTTTTTTTTTTGGGTAACTCAATGGGGAAGACATGTACCTACCTATTTTTTGAATTAGTTAGTGGTTTTTGAAGCAACAAGTGGGAACTAAGGTATGAGGTGTGCTACAACCACGACCTCAGCCCCTTTCCCATGATGTGAAATTAGATGGTTGCAATTTTTTATTGACCAAGGGATTGTATACAATGAGACTATTTTACCTTTGATACAAGGTTGTCGCAATTCTTTACGATCCTTTGATGTGAAATTTGATAGCTTGGATGTGTCACAAAGTTTTGAATTTTTTTTTTTGAAGTTTGAGCTTGCCCAATGGAATAATTGCAACCACCCAATTTCACATCCAATGTTCAAGATTAATGCGACCACCTTGTATAAAATGTAAATGGTCTCGTTCTATACTTTCCCATTGTCCAAACTCACTTTAAAAGTAATTGTTTGGGAAAATTACAAAAAACCCCCAAGATTAGATTATCTATGCAACTTACCCCAAGCTAACTTTTTCTCTCAGTTTTTTCCTTACAACAGCTTTCTATGCAAAAAACCCCAACCCAAAAAAAAGAAAAAAAGACTAAACTACCCTTAACACGATTGCTTACACCTATCTCTCCGGAAGTAGAACCTGTGAGACACACCGCTCCGGTAGTAGTTAAGGGCGCTCCGGCCGTAGCTCTTCAGCAGTATTTAGCAGTTGCAAAGGGCGCTCTGGTAGTAGCGCTTCGATAGTTTACAAATGGTGCTCCGGCAGTAGAACTTGTGAGATACAGCACTCTGGCAGTAGCAAAGGGTGTTCCGGGGGTTGCGCTTTGGTAGTGCTGGTGGTAGCGCTCTGGCAGTGGTAAAGGGCGCTCCAATAGTGGCAAAGGGCGCTCCGGCAGTAGAACTTGTGATACGTCAAATCTTTCCAAATTGATTTTTTTTTGTATAAGAGTCATATTTCTGTCTAAAAATAGGAACTTTTTACTTTGGGGTTTTTTTTGTATAGCAAATTAATGGTGGGTAAAAAAATGAGAGAAAAGGTTTGGATGCGGTAAGTTGCATAAATAATGTGTTTTAAGGGGTTTTTTATAATTTTTTTTAATTTTTTAGAACTTTACGAGACATTCAAGCTATCAGATTTCAAATCATAAGATTGTAAGTAATTGTGACCTCCAATTTATCATTGTATACGATCTCCAAAATAAAAACACCCATCATCCTGTCAAAAACCAAGCCTAGCCGTCCGACATACAATCCGGCCATCCTGCTCACAAGTAGGACGAGAAGTTGAGAGAATCTTTTTCCGAAATAAAATGCAATGAGACCGTTAACCTTGGCATGCAATTGGCACAAATGTTTCTATGCGTCTGATGCAATATCAGACGTTCCAAATGATACATGGATAGAATGATAGAGTCTCTGGTGTGATAGCGGGAATTAAAAATGGAGTAGCCATTTTGCATCTCTCTCTCTTTCTCTCTCTAAAGTGCAGACATACCGCTCTCTCTCTCTCTACCAACTTACGACTTTCTCCCTCTAACACTATTCTCTTATTTGGACGGGCCTCCATCCAGCCCCCCCTCTCTCTCTCTCTCAAACCACACTCAATTCGTAGTACAGGCAAGGTATTATATTCTACTGGTTTATTTCTATATTTCTTCCTGATATTTCGATGTTTTGTTTGAGAGTTTTTCAATGGAGAGTCTAATTCTTTTTCTTTGGATTTCTTGTTAAACAAACGGCATTGCTTGAGATTAATTTGAAATTGATCTATTGGTGTTCCCGTGAATTTAGTTTGTGATTTATCCTTTCTAGTCTATGTAGCATTTTTCATTATTTGATGCATTTCCTTTTGAAGCTTTAATTTTGATTACCAATAATTAGCTTCTAAGGGTTTATTTCGGGGATTAGGGTTGTAAATTGAACTTTTTTCAACACAGAGCAGTGTGCTTTTTGCAATAGTATACTAAATTTTGGAATTTTGACTCTATCATGTATGGAATTCTGATAATCTACTGTACTTTCCCTTGCTGAGTAGAATTATGACTAAGAAATATTTTCAGTTCTTCTTCTTCTTCTTCAAAAAAAAAAAACCTCAATGAAAGAACGGAAATGATTATCATTTTAGCACTCGAAGGCTTCTCTAATGATTATCTATGCAATGATGAATTTTTAATATGCATGATTTACATGAAAGAAAGTGAAGATATCTCAGGACCCGCGAGGGTTCCAAGTCAGCCGAGTATGTCAGATACTTGGCTGAGTCCAATAAAGAAAGAATTAAATATTGGGAACTGGCCAGACTCGACCTGTTCTCGTGTGCTTGGTTCCGAACTCAACAGCCTAGCCTGCCAATTCCGAGTAACTCCAGCATGTCCCAGTTGGATTCGCTGAGTTTTCTCACTAAACTTTATCTACATAACAAACAAAAGAAAATAATTAGCATTGCTACCAATAGCAAGTTTGTCATGGCTCATGGTACAGATATTTGACCAAGAAAAGCATGCTCCTGAATAGTTTTTTCTGTTATAATTTGGCTATGTAATAATATTTATTTTATTTTTCAAATTAAAATAAATGTTTATTGTTTTATGTATGTCATTTATGCATGCAATGTGGATTTGCTTCAATAATGAAATGCATTTATATCCATCGAATGTTTGATACATTTGTAAAATTTTTACTGCACTGATGACTTAGTGTGGGTACTAGTATGTTTCTAGTCCTTTTACTATTGGGAATGTATTAGAGACAATTTATTCAGTAACTCATAAAATTTTGCCTTATCATGCACACGAGGATGTTGATGACTTGAGAGATGCCTCAGCTCGAAGCGGGAAATTATTAATTGGGTCTGAGTGTCTAACAGTTGCTTACCTCTTTGTAATTAGTAGGGATTAAGCTAGTTCGAATGTATTTTGTCTCATAAAAAATGATGGTTTAGAAAACAACGAAGATATAACTGATCTGTCTTGAAACTCTTGTGTTCTATGTTACTAAATATGTATGTGGTATCCTATGCATAACTAATATTTGATTCTTAATATTATTTCTTATGTTCTATTTTAATATTGGCAGGGTGTAGAATTGATTGAATGAGACATGGATTTGTTTGTAGAGAAACTTCTTTATTGATTGGAAATAACAGTTAAATAAGTCTTTCTAATTCAAATCACCCTTGATGAAGCAGATGAGAAGTATCAGTCTTGGCAACAGTTAATGGTATAACCTAAAAACATGGGACTAGAAATCATATCAAGCACGTTTCCAGCACCAGGATATTCAAATAATCATGGAGGAAATAATGACTGGAGAAGTGACCATGAAGTCATCACTAAAACCCATACGAGATTTGGTACCCAAGATAAACACTGCTTTCATCAGCAATGTTTATTGAGATCATCATCTAAATCATTGCATCGGTCTAGGTGGTATAATTTGAGGGTTAAAGCTGCCTGGCTTTTTAAAGGAGGTGAGAAAGAGCCAACTGCAAGTTCAGAGCGAAGTGAGAGTGCTAATGAGGACATATTGATATTCTTTTTCCAGTTAGATTTGGCAACTCGAGTACAGGTGATCGCTGCTACTTTATGTTATTGATTTTCTTTGATCAATATTATTGATTTTATTGATCAATTCTACATATTTATCCTTTTATCTGTTTTGTATGTGCGTGTGCGTGTCTGTGTGCATGCTTGCATGTACGTGTGTGAGTGTGTGTGCACGTGTGTGCACATGTGCATGAGTGTGTGTGTGCGTGTGCGTGAGTGTGTGCGTGCATGCATGTGTGTGTGTTGAAAGTTAACTGTTTCTCATTAGTTTCAAAATAGATGCACAAATGTGCATATTTCTTCTCATTTACAATATCGAGCATGTATACAGTAGGCTCTATTCATAATACTAGTCATTGAGAAAAGTTACCAAAAGCTTTGACTTAGCTTCTGCATTGGATTCACTCCAAATGTCAGTCAAGGATATATCTATATATATATATATATATATATAATAATCAAAGAGTGCCTTAATTTCCTCAAACAGCATGCAGACACCATGAATCCGGAGTGCCATTCTGTGTCTACTTTCAGCCACTTCTTCTCTATACCCAGCAATCCATATTAGCTGAACCATGCTTCAGCCTGATTTGACTCATGTCCATTTAATGGACTCAAGTATATCATCAATACTTTAACCAAACTACCCCTAAATAGTATAAGAGTAGTTTGGTAAATTTATTAATTTTTAATTTGTTTTAGATATTTTTTATAGGTGTATGATGATGATATGTGTAGCCATACAAATTTGAGCTTAATTTGATATATAGAAAAAGAGAGAAAATTAAAATACACTTCATGTTCCTAAAAAATGGGACTTAATTGTAAAATATGAAATTTATGAGATTTATTTTAAATATAATGAAACACACAGGATATATATGTAAATTTCCCTAAATAAAACTTTGCATCAGCAGAGTTTCGTCCAGTTGAAGGACTTGATACATCAACCTTGTTGAGAATGCCCCTTTGTTGTCAGGTGCCCATATCAAATTATCCTACACATTGGACTGAATGACCACCTGCTGCAGCTCCTGCATCATGTTTGTTAAGGTCAAAATCTCTTCTTTAAGTCTCTCCTTAAACATGGTGTGCAACTTGTTGAATGCCCCTCTCCATCTACCACCTCGGCCACACATTTTGGTTTACAGCCAAATTGTAAGGTTTTGGGTATTTTCTCATGAGTTGCTGCGTACTAATCCAGTCATCCGCCTAGAATCTGGTTAGCCTTCCATTACCTATCTAGAATCATATGTTGTCTTTGTAGCAAGAATACCAATTTTCAATCCCTCTCCCTGTCCCTGATAGTCTCTACCTACTGCGGTGTTCTCTCTCTAGCCAAGGAATTTCTTACTTTCCATACTTTTTGTGCTTGACTTTATTAATTGGTAAAGAGTTTGTATAAAAAGTCCTGAATATGGCTACCCACAAACTGGGAGCTCTAAACCAAAAATGATACATCTGGAATTCCAGCCTACAGACTCCAAGCAAAACAAGAAAATGTATGGGGGAGATAGAGATAGGAGAGGGTAGAGGGAGATAGAGAGAGTAAGAGGGAAACAGGGTAGGATATAGTGGAGAGAGAGAGTGGATAATGAGGTGGGAAGAGAGAAAACAAAATTTAGAAGAAAACGAGGTAGCAGAAGAGAGGAGAGGAGTGCGGTGATTTCAATCCGTGGAGTGCATCGTCATCTGACCACTGCTGCTCCTTCCTTTGCCCACTTATCAGCATGGCGTTGGATTTCCATACATTCCATAATCTTTTTCCAAATCTAATCAAGCTGCTTCATGGATCTCCACCACCACATGGTGAGTGAAACCTTGTTCGTATAATCTCCAGCCCCTCTCTGGACTTGGTCTTCTCACTGTACTCAGTTGACAAGGTGAATTGCTTTTCTCTCTGATGACCCAGTCCATAGAAAGTTCCTTGTCATCTTCTAAATTGTATTTGCCACTACTAGAATGGAATATAGAGATATGTAATCAATAGGCAAGCTGGATACTATAGCTTTTATTAGGCCTCCTGATTTCCAAGATGCCAAGTACTTGCAAGACCTCTCCAGAATGCTCTCCCCTGTGTTTTGGCTGGCTTTCCTAGACAAAGTGGTAAACCCTAATACTTAACTAGGTAGGCTAGCCATTTTAGAGCCTACGCACCTTGCAATTTAATCTCTTCATGCAGAACCAAGATACCAAGCAGGGATGTCTTTGACAGTAACATTAATACCACATGCCACCTCAAAACACCTCGAAAAAAAAGGCGCAGAGTCTTCATCTAATTAGCACTAGCATCAGAAAATATCAAGGTTGTCTACATATTGTAGATGTGACACTGTAGGGCCATTTGTTAAGATCTTGAAACAAAAGAACATACCTGCAGCATGCACTCCATCAAGCAGTCTTTTGAATTACTCGGTTACTATGGGAATGGAGGAAATCATCCCTTGCCTCAAACCTTTGGAGGTGTGGAAATAACTTTTGGGGTATGATGTTTAAGATGGAGAAATGCGTTGTAGACAAGTACCCTGCTATTTACTTTCTTCATTTTTCTCCAAAACGCCTTAATCTTGTTGCATTGTCTAGTATTCCTGAATAAACGCTTTCTAGTGTGCATATGATTACGAGCATTTGGTCCCTATACCTTGAGTGCCTACACTCATACACTTCCAAAGCTGCATTCAATATTTGCATTGACTTTAACAATGCTGCTTGCGGTGTAAACTAGACTCGACACAAATTACCTGGTAAATGACTTCTCTAAGTCCCACTGCCAGCACCTTCCTATGATTTTGTGCATAGTAAGCCTGGGCAGGAGAGAAAAAACTTCGGGATCGGGAGCGGAAGTGCGGAGCAAGGAAGCCATGAAGTTCTGTGGTCGAGGAAACCAGTTTCATACATGGGCAAGGGATTGATATCCTTGACTTTTTGGGATTGAGTTCCATATCTGTAAAGGACCGGATGCCTTACGGGTGGGATCACATTCCACTGTGTTAGGATAGAGGTGCCCGAAGTTCAATTATCCACTGTATTGTTAGTATGGGAGTGAGTTCCATTTATTCAACTGTTTGCAAATACAAAAACCCAAGTGTCAATGTAAATAATAATCATATCATTGAAAATCTCTTGGATGTTTTGATATCAATGGAGTAAGATTTCACAAATGAGGTGATGCTAAACGACCAATATGGTGTTGTAATACTTATAATAAGTTCTTGGGCATGAATAGAGCTTTTTGTCCTCAGCAATCTCTCTCCCCCTCTTCCTCTAGCTCTCTCATCAACTGGTGAAGAGATACGTTCATTGGGGACTTTTATTCTCTTCAAATTCCTTTCTTTGAAACTAGGCACAAGTCACAATCCACAAGATGTGTGAAGTTATGAACTGTAAAGTGTATAGGAAATCACGACATTTAGAAAGCTTGTAGATCATAAAAAAAAAGGAGATCCACACTCAATTGTATATGAACCAAAATGTTCTGTTGAAACTGAGACCCGAAGCATAGGATACTCGATTCCATGTTGGCGGAATCGCGGTCCGGCTTACTCATGAAACAATGATATTTGGTATAGGGATCTAGGTCCCATTAATATAGGATAGAGATCACCGATTTCTCCTAGCAAGAACCTTAATATCAAGGAATCGCTGGAGTTGAGATCTCGTATATAGAAGTACCGGAACAAGATCTACATTTGTTAGAAGGCTTCTGGGCCTTGGGTCTTTGATGTCTTCTATACTCTCTTTCTCTCTTCGGCATTTGGGCAATAAATGAGAATTCGCCCATCTGTTGATTCATCCTCGCTGATAGAGTTCTATAATCATGATAATGGTTTCTTCCTTTAGCATATCCTAAAAGTTCTTGAAAGAGGTTATCGGATACTTATTATGTCTAAGAGCCTTATCTCGGTTCATGATTGAGAACAGCTGTTCTAAATTCTTTTCTTTAAAGGGTCTTTCAAGCCTGAGATAGTGTGTTGAGGGGGATTTACTGTCGTTGATCTAGGTCTTTTCTCTTCTTTAATTACTTCCTGGAAGTGTTTAATTCTCCACCAAAAAGGATTTTTTTCCTCAGCTATTGATATGCTATTGGCAGAGTCACTCTGCCTTCTCTAGCTGGCTGTGGCATGGAAATCCTTTGTGTTCCTCTCTCCTTCCTTCAACCTCTTAAATCTGGACCAATTGTACCAGTATTTCTCTTTGATTTGTTAGCCGATGTTGAACTTCAACCTTAGCCACACATTTAGCTTGCTTTCCAATACAGACGGTCCTCTTTCCTCATTTTCCTGTCCAATTCCTCAATTTCCTTCCGTAAACTGTAAACTAGTGATCTTGAACTGAATTTTATCGAAAGACAATCTATTTCACTGATTTAGTTTATATTTTTACAACTGTAGTTTCTTGCATTGCCCGTCATTTGCGCATCTTTCTATGGTCACTGGAGGCCGTTTACAAATTCTTTTGCAATGCCATCAGATTCTCTTTGAGGGCTTTTCATTTTGGCCGGGGAAGGGAAGCCTTTTGGCTCTTCATCCGATTTGTGGGAAGTCTTTGGGTTTATTTTTAAAATTAAAATGAAAAATTCAAGTTATATGTATTACTAGGAATTTTTACTATTATACCAATCCATGAAGTATATTTCCAAATACTGAATATCACGGTAAAATTTAAATACTCTAGAGGTATTTTTATCAATTTTCACACCTATCGGGAGTATTTTGAAATTAATACTGATTTATTGAAACTTATTGCTGAGGGATTCAATTTTCCTTGGAATTAATGTAAAATCTGAAGACTTCATCCAAGAAAGCTGAAAAGCTGAAATTAAGTAAATCTGATAGCACCGTTCTTTTGCTTTCTTACTTGAGAGTTTTGAGAATGGTGTGTCAGGCTAATTGGAGTGGGTTTTTTAGTTTCTCATCATGCATGTTATAATTATGGTGATGAGGGTAGAGTAGATGATTTATCATGACATTAGAATGATGATGGGTTAAAACCAGGTTTATTTGAAAATATTCTTCAGTATTTGGGAAACTACATATTCTTCTGTAAGTAACAGCTTCAGTAAGTCTTATTGGTAACATATTGTCCTCGATCCCATTCTATTTTAAGTTTTTCAAGTTTTATACTTTGTTTAGTTTCTAGTATAATTTGTTGTCTAATCCTAGAAATTGGTCTTCAAATATTACAGTATGCATTGAATATGGAGCAGTATGATATTGCTCAGCAGTTTAGAAACAAGCTGGCAGAGGTAATCGTTATTTAACTTCATTTATTGGATAATTACAAAGCTAGCTGTTGCCTTGAAATGGCATAAAAGAGGTTGACGTGAGCTTATATGTGTTTTTTCTTTGAAGGTTGAAGCTGAGATAGCTAAGCAACAAGAAGTTAAGAGGGGACCCACTTCTTCAAAGAGTGAAGCTCAAGATAAAGCTATAAGTATTTTATGCCTTCGGTGAGTTTGATTTATATTAGGACTGTATCTTACAATGACGAATTCTTGTAATAATTTGGAACATTTCTTGTGGTATACATTTGGTGATGAGAATGTTACTATTAAATGTGTGGTAAACTTCTAACCCCTTGGATGTTTCTCTATATTGTTAGTAGAATAAAACATAACCACAATCAGGGAGGAACCACATACTCTTTTTTATATTAACACCTAAACTTCGGATAGGTTTAATACAAACAACCCTGTTATTAGTTTCCTTATGTACATTCTGAGAGAGCTCCAAAGAGCTCTTATCTTGAGGAAATCCTCTATTGATGAAGGCCGTGCCTTTCCATATTTGCCCAGATATCTTGAGATTGCTAGTTTGGGCACACCTTAAATGTGGTAGTTGTTGCGTTGGAGGCTTTCTGTCTTAAAGGAGTTCTAGGATTTTTTGAGCTTTATATTTGTGCAAGGCAGTTATATGGAGGTTGATTTATCGGCTAATTGGGATGTCTTTCCTTGTTTTGTAATGATAAGCTTTGTGCTTCTTCTGATTGTGTCTGATGATCAAAATTTAAGCATTCTCAGATATTTATGAATGTTGGCTTATAAAAAAAATAGTATGTATGCATGTATGTATGTATGTATGTATATGTATATTATATTCGTATTTACTCAAGATCTTAGAATATGACATCAGAGCTTGACACCAGGAGATGAATAAAGCCATTTCATTTGGTTATGAGAACATCTCAAAATTTCTGGTCGTTCTTTCAAAAAAATTTCCAGCCCTTATATCGTATATGCGAAGCAATTACAGCTTATTGATTAATGATGTGGCTGGCATCTGTTACTCTTCAAACCTGTATTAATAAATGTGCACAAATGAGTTTGATGTGCTCCATATACATCAAATCTATGCTTGCTTTCCACTTTCTTTTATTTCTTTAGCTTGTGAGAATTTGACCATTGGATCTTCTGAGCTGCCATTTTAGTTGGTATAGTGATGGCTTTGTTGGAGGTGACACATGGCTCAAAACCTATAAGTGCGAAAGAATTAATATATGTATTAAAAATTGCTTCGTATTTATAATTTAAATATTACTGTTTTGCTCCTGCAATATTCATTGATATGTTCAATGAGACTGTCTTTGGTTAAAGTGCTTTTGACGTGGATAGTGCCTTCTTTTTCATTGCAGCACAGACCTCCAAAAAGCTATTGAGGATGAGAATTATGCTTTAGCTGCAGAGTTGCGTGATGAAATTTCAAAGCTTGAGGTGAATACGTTGGGTTCATGTTAGCTTTCCCATTTCTGGTCTAGAGAGGTTGTGTTATCCTTTGATTAGCTGTGTGGTATGATACTTTCAATGTTTTCTTGTGTTTTGGAATACTCATGGAGCTTTCATGGATTTTGTTAATAAACTGTTTTAATCATAGGCTGAGTCTCTAGCTGCGTCAGCAAAAGCTCTGGTATATACAAATGCACAGTATGCTTTTTGGCTGGGACAGAAAGTAAGGCACAAAGTGTTTGGTACGGAGTAATTCCCTTGTCGTTACTCTTTCCTCTTCCATTTTGGAGAAAGTTTTATGCCTTGCATGCAACATATTTCACCTAAGTAATTATTGGATGTATTTTTGTTTCTATGCCTGTGTGTTTCTTTTCTGTAGTTTGTAATTAGTATCAGGTACCATGTTACCTAATAGGACCTAATATGATTCTGAAGAAACATGGTCCTGCAGTGTAAGTCTTTTGTTTTCAGACATATGATTGGTTAGGTCTTATGGTCAGTGTCTTGTTTGCAATTTGACTAAACTTGGTGATGACTTTTTAGGTTATCGAGCTGTGATCTGTGGAATGGATCCTTTGTGTTGTGAATCAAGTTCATGGATGGAGGTTGCACATGTTGACAAGTTGTCTCGAGGTTCTAATCAACCGTTTTATCAGGTGACCTTTATCAAGTTTCAGAAGTTTCGAAGTTCAGAGAGCCAACAAAGTTCATATGTTTACCCTTTAGTGTCCATTATATAAGCAACAATTGTTTTTAGTAATATTAATGGAAGTATATATGCAAAAAGTGGTTTGGTACTGAAGTTTTCATACTTGCAAGAATGATAGACATGGACCTTTTTTACCAGATAATTTCATGCATATAAGATATGTATCTTGATGCCAAAAAAAACAATAGAGAGAGAGAGAGAGAGAGAGAGAGAGAGAGAGAGAGAGAGAGAGTGTGCGTGTACTACTAAATAAGTAACTATACAAGTACTAGTAAATTATTCGTTTCTTACTAATTATACTACTTACGTACGTACGGTCCGTTGGTTGTATTCGTT